TTGAACGTGCCTGGACCTGAAGTGTTTTAATGCTTCCAGTTTGTGGACCAGTCTTCTAGGTGAGCTGATGAGCGTCTTGACTGGCGAGTTCCAAACCTAAGGTGATCTCGCACGCGGGCTTGAAAGTCAGCGTCCTTTCGAAGAGTAGGCGGTTTATGTAATATTCGTCCTTCGACCCGCAGACGAACCGGACACGCAAGGCATCGTTCAAAATTCCTTGAAATTACAAGTGTGAGCGAGTTTCTTCAGGGGGGCTATGAAATAAGTAAGAGTTTTGCCCTTCTCTTGATTGCGTTTGTAGAATCTAAATCGTTCCGCAATCGTGATGGGATTGGCCTTGAAGTGCTAAATAAGCGCTACTTTGAGATCTCCATATGAACATTCCGTTGTCGTTCGTGGAGAAACCAGGCCTCGAAGCAACTCATAGGTTGATGCAGGCAGTGGCGCAAGCAGGATATCTGCTTCTTGCCTTCAGGGACCTCGTTAGCCGCTAGCCAGCGTTCAAGCGTTTTGATGTAAATATCGAACCGTTCTGACTTATCAAAATTAGGGACGCGTCCTATGTAAGTCATTCTCACCACGGTTTGTGTTGACATCGAAGGGGTTCCTTCCGAACGTCCATGTAGTCGTAGGGTCAACCAGGCCGCTAGGCTGTGGAGCGTTCGAGTTGAATAGGTGTTACCCTACGCAAGTTATGCCCACGGATGATGACTTGACTGGAACATCTCGTCGCCAAATGTAGTAAATTGCGGTTTAATTACATATTTATACAGGCTAGGCTGTGCTATAATTACATTTAATTTCATATTTATGCAGGCTAGGCTGTGCTGCGTCTGGACCGAAGCTGAAACTAAGTATAGTCGATGCTTGCCCGATGGCGGCCGGTTCCTGATTCGCTCGAGCTCTCCCTCCGCTCGTGCACGTTCTCTTCCTCCACTGCCCGAGTTATCACAACGTCTAGAACGGACCTATTTCGGGACGCTCAGATCCTGAAGAGAAAAAATGCACACACGCATTTTGTTAGAAATATCTAGTGAGTTATTGGCTTAAAAAGAGGACTTACGTGGAGAGACATCTCAGATGCGGAGTCATGTTTGCGTCACTGTTTCTATTTTTATTACCTTTCGTTATTGAAATAAACGTTTCGTAGGGTCCAGCAGGATATCTGAAAGCTCGTCGTGCACTTCAAGGCTTTCTAATAGGTCTGAGAGCTCCGTCATAGTTTTCGGAGAAGTATTCACGTACTTTTCAATTTTTCTGAAGGTTTTGATAGCTGCGTCATTGATTTTTGAGAGGCGTATGGGTTTGTGACTGTCCTTTCCGGGAAAGCACGTGACTAATTAAAATAGTTTTGACAGGTCTGTGGGCAAAATCAGGTGATCCTTCAGGATCTATGAGTCGAGGAAGCCGCTTGGCCATTTTGCGTCGGGCGGCTGCAACGAACGGTTGCATAATGACGCCTTACCATACCAGGTGTATGCTTTATCTCCTAGAGCAGAACGACGAACGCCGAGCATGTCGGCCACAGCCAAATCAACCCTCGCAAATATACTGGATTATCCCGGAGCTTCGCTTCCGGCGGCCACGACAATCGCGGCACACGAGGTCAGCGTACCTACCCGGATCCCTTTGAAACCAGAGTCTTTACGATTTTACGCAAGGAAACGTAGATACAATCCCTCAGACGAATCGCTTCACGGCCCTCACAAGTTAAGCCTTACCACGGCCCCGCATCGGGATTCGAATACCGGCGAGGGAGCGACGGCAGGTGCCGGCAACGTGAGCCCACACGTCGCAGTGACGCAACCCGCCGTCGCCATGGATACTGTCCGTTTACACACCCGGTGAATACCCCTGCGTCCCTGCTGCAGCAAGCGTTAGCGCAGGAGCACCTTAAACCCCCAACCTTGCTGCTTTCCGGAACGTAATCGCAGGAAAAATCACAGACCACAGAGTGTCCCAGCGTAACTTCCGGCGGAGCACCTCATCTCCCACCACAACGACTGACCAAGTGCAGCACAATCATAATGATTTGACAGGTATATTAACGTTGCCAAGCTTAACTTCAGCGCACTTTGCCAAGGCATCCTTGCGGCAGTACATGCCGCACCAACCGAGCAAGGATACACCTCCATCAAAAGACGAGAACAGCAAATTTGAATCGCCATAGACACCTAACGTGCAACCATGGCACACCGACTCCTACACTGCAATAATATCTCCATCAACAACGCACCTACCAGATACGGTGCTACAATGCCTTTGACATCACGTATTACAGAGAAGTCATCCATGGAATTTACCCGGAAAGCACTCCAGAGGTTCTCAGAAGGGAATGGCGCATTCCAGGCAAGACCATTGCCCATGCCTGAAGACTGGGAAAACCCAACACTATTATTGTAATGTCTAGATGTCCAGACCCAATGGAAAACCTGAAACCACATCTGGAACTGGAAATGTCGCGGCTCATGGCGAAAGAAGACGGCCTTCAGTAGCTACGTCAGCGAGCACTCCTACGCAGTTATCGCGCTACAAGAAACCAAAGGGGTATACAAATTAGCGGGATACGAATCCTACACACAAACTTGTATCGTCACTAAACGACGGGGCCACCAGTCGCCACAGCCCCCTCTCGCCCAGGACATTGTTTTCGTTCGTCGGGATTCGGCGTCGCCCAAATAGGTACAGCCGCAATCAACGACATCCGTAAAGAGCACGTATGTGTTCGCAAATCTTTGCAGAACAGCTCTCTCCTTTTACTAGCAGCCTACTGGCTGGCCAAACAGGACGCGGAACCCTTGCCGGGCGATGCGACCTTTCTTCGCGCTAACGCAGGCGATTATAATGTCCTTTTTTTGGGTGGTTTTAATGCACCCCACTTTCACTGGGGTCATGATCAACAAATTGCCCTCAGTCGCAAGTTAAATGATGACGTGTGCAAACAGTGCTTCTCTTTGCTAAACAGAACTTTGGAATATACCAGGCGTGGTAACCGTAGAGAACGAGACACTAATCTAGATCTGTCCTGGTTCAAGGGACATATCCCCACAGAATGGCACAACACAGGTCAGGACGCAGGAAATGACCTTTATATATGTGCCATCGCCCTCACCACACCGCCTCATATAAACCGAAAAAAGCTAGGACGACAGATGGCGATTGTAAACTGGGACAGGGTTCGAAACACGATGGACACTCAAGCTGCCCCGACCACCATAGAAGCCTGGGCGCAGGACCTCTGTAAAGCTACAAGTACACTTACAAAGCTCACCACTTGCACCGATGAATATCCCTTCATGAATAGGCATCTGCTAAATTTGTTAGAGGACCGCAAGAAAATAATTTGGAGACTCCGAAAGAACAAGAACAACATTCACATTCAGGATGAACTGGACAAGAGCACTGAACTCACCCAAACCTATGCCAATGATCTTGCTGGGCGAAACTGTCAAGATACGTGCGAAAGCGTAAATGGACATCTGCACCTCGCCAGGGTTTCGGAGATGCTGAACACCCATCTGGGCTACTTCAAACCACCCCACGCTTTAACTAAAATACAACTTAGTTTACAATTGAGTGACGACGACCTTCAGAAAGCCATCTATGATACCTTCTGCCCTAAGACAACGGCTAACCAATTGCCAAATTATACCGAGCCCAACATCCCTGGCATAAACTCAGACTTCACTGCGGCAGAACTAGCAGCAGCACTCGCGTTTATGATTAAGAAAACTAACCCGGAGAAGACGGAATCACTTACACCATGCTGCGAAACCTTTCTGAAAACAAACACAATGTTGTCTTCTCCTTCTTTAACAAAATCTGGCACGAGGGCTCGCTTCCAAAAGACTGGATAGCAGCCACCATCTGTGTAATCCCTAAACCATGCAAGCGACCGGACTCGTTTCTTAATCTCAGAACGTTCTCACTGACATCGTGTAAAGGTAAAGTGTTTGAAAAAATGGCCCTCACCAGATACGAATGGCAAATTGAAGAACACAAACTCCATCCACCTACGCTCATCGGGTACCGCCAAAAGTGTCTCGACTCAAGACGCGGCACTTCTAATCAAACAAGACGTCTTTTGAAACGGAAGCAAAGCACAAACCCGCATCATAGTAGGACTGGACATTCACAAAGCATTTGATAGCGTTCAACACAACACCCTTCTAGAAAAATGTAAATGGCATCCAACCAGGCCGACCCTTTTCACAGTATATTCGCAGCTTTCTCGATGACTGGCAGATACAAATTCGCATGAAAACATCGACTTCTGCAACAGCACAGCCGCTTTCACGAGACGCACCCTAAGGAGCAATATTTTTACCCACTCTTTTTAACCTCACACTGAAAGATCTCTCAACACTGTTGGACAGGATCTCAGGACTCAAGCATATTATTTACGCTGACAACATCACGCTGTGGAGCACACAGGGAAATCCGGGGGCACAAGAAAGCATTATCCAGAGGGGAATCGAAGTCGTTGCCTAAGACGTAAACACTCTCGGACTTGCATGCTCACCCGAAAATTTTGAATATATAATGGTCCGACCAAACTAAAGCAGTAAAGGAACAACGACGTTTCATCAAGGTCAGCGTCAACGGACTACCTATACCGCAAAAACCCTATACCTATACGCGAAATACGCATTCTGCCTATACGCGAAATACGCATTCTTAAATTTTATTGGCAACAGAACGACAGAGCCGACGTATGGACATTACGAACTCTTCAACAGATTAACCAAATCGCACATATGCTTAGGAGAATCGCACACAAGAATCACGCAAAGAACTTGAACTCGACGCATCACGGAAGCTCTGGTATCCACCAGGATAATGTACGGACTTCGATATCAACGCATTAACGAACACAAACTTCAGAGACTTAATAACCTCCTGAGACGCATCACCCGCATCATACTCGGGGTCCCCAGCTATGCGGCAAATACTTTCGTAGAAGGCACGCCAATATACAGAACCTCAGCGAACGAATTTTTATGCATCAAGAAGCACAGTCCCATCGCTTGACTACCTCCAACCAAGGTCGCGCTCTACTAGAGGTTATTGGACAGAACAGTTTAAACCTACCCTCAATACCACTTTCCGAACCGCCATGTGGCACACTTCCACACACCAACGTGAGACCAATACCCAAGCATATGCACAAAAAGTAAGGGCGGAAACGAGCTGATGTACATTGCACATGGTTGAAAAAACCCCGAGACTGCGGGTAAACGACACAACACTAAAAAGTCTCTAACACAGCTGAAATTTTTATTTTCCGAAATCTGGTTATATAGGCACTTCGAGCAAAAGAAAAAAAAAGAGGGAGAGGGTGAGAACCCCAAAAATTGCCACTTCTCACCAATGTAACCTTTGACTAAATACAAGGACAACGGACTCTGCGTCATGCACCTATGCACCCTGTCAATAACGCCGACCGACGAACAGCGCACAGCCGCAAACGCGCTCACATTGACCTGCTCTCGTACCATGTCGGCGCCAGCTGCGCCGCCGGCAAAGTAGTCCCCGCCAGCACAGATCCGTATGGCCACACAATCGTCAACCATTACCCCGACGTTCCTTCTGTGCAACAGCAGAATTAACGGTCATAATACAAGCAATCACCCAACACAAGCACCTCTCCCAGATCACCATCCGCTCAGACTCCCAGGCTGCTTTGCGGGCCTTTCTTCGGAACCTTCTCCCTCCTGATAGACTAGCTTTCCTAGCTTCCTATGGACAGCACCATACCACGATATCAGTCTAGTTTGAATGAACGCCAGGCCATTCTTCCTCCCTAGGCAGCGCCCGAGTCCACGCTGAGACCGCAGTCCGCTGGTGCTCCAATACTTCCCAGGCTTGGCCCGCAACATACATCCCCGAAGTGGACCGGAGTTAGCGCCATCGAGAGCAAAGGGCATACCTCAAAACGCTTCGGACAGACCACAGAGAACTTCCAAGACCATCGGACTCCTTGCCGGGAAAGCCTGCCACGCTCCTGGGAGAGGCACAAACTCACTCGCTACGAAATGACTTTATATTGCACCGGATACAAGCGGCCCCGGATACACCCCATTGCCAAGTTTGCGGCTCCATACCCACACTCATCCACACATACTGGAGATGTCTGAGAGCTTCAACGCCTCAACGCCGTTCACTTCACCCTGACAACAAACATATGGGAGGCCTGGGTTGCCCATCTTGGCAAAACGACCTCCTCATGGACCATCCTCCTTCACCACCTGCTCACCATCCTGGGGTGAGAACACTTGAGGTCCTCCCCAAGAACGCAGACCCAGACGGGGGTCGTACAAATAAATGTCTTGTATCCTTTCTCTTGCTCTCCTAGAGCAGCTCAATGTGCGGATAAGGACGAAGGTCCCTCAGTGCCTTGTTTTGTGTGCCTATTAGTCCGTCGGGCTTCAGAAACTCGCCCTTAGACCAAACAAGACGCAGTGGACGGCATCGCGACGGCATCAGGAGTGACACCATGGCCACGCCCACGAATTCCTCGATGGCTGCACGTGTTGATTATAAGTTCGTGGTTTTCGCTAAACTTACACTGTATGTGCGAGTGTATGGTACGCTCACACAGTTTTTAAAATCGAAGCTGCCATGCATTTCAGGAATATTACCAGAAGCATTGCGAATGAAGCAAGAAATATTTGTTAGGGTAATAAAAAAAAAAAAAAAAAAAAGAAAGCTCGATTGCTGTTTTTGATGAGATTTTTTCTGCCTACAGACTCTTGCTCACGGGTTTGAGCAGATGTATTTTATCGTCCTTTGGATGTTTAAGTTGCATGCAAATCTTAATTACTAATGAGGTATGTTGAACATGCATGCAAAACCTAATTATCAATAGCAATATAAAAGGCATCGGCCAGCCTTAAAATATCAGAAGCGCTACACTTCATAGTGGTAGTAGTACTAGTAGTAAAGTTAATTTTGTCCAAAATGGGTTTTAAGGAGGAGGGTCGTGGGAAGGCCCGTCCTATTCTTCCTCAGGCGGCAACCAGCTAGGCCTTGGGCTTTGGCGGCGTCTTGGCCATCTGGACGAACTGGAGTTGGAGATCTGGGTCTGAGCTAAGCCGTACAGTCTCTCACTGCTCTAGGGTGGTAATGGGAAGGGGAGGTAATGAGCTAGCGCGTTTTTGGGTACTTATCAGGGGGCACGTCCACATGATGTGGTAAAGATCGGCCCTACCTGCGAATGATGTGCAATCTGCTGTGTATGGCCTTGGATGCAGGTGACTATACGTCAGTGGGTTTGGGAACGTACATGTTCGAAAAAAGGGCCAAGTACCTGATTGCTTTTTATGTAAGTTTTTGTGAGCGGCGGGGTAATGTCCCCTGCCCTGTCGGTAGTATTGTAGAATTTCATTGAAGGACACCATCCGGTCCCTACCTGAAGGACGAAGGGATTCGAGCTGCTCATCGTAAGAGGTAGTCGTGCGGCCGGGGATGGCCAGTTCTCGGGCCGCACTGTGAGTAGCTTCGTTTACCGGGAGACCGGAGTGCGCGGGCGCCCAAATGAGCTGTGTCTATTTGCGCCGGGTTTCGGGTACATGAGCTAGAAGTTCGACGGCTTTGGGCGAAATGTGCCCTTTCGCGAAGTTTAGTATGGCTGTTTTTGAGTGGGCGAAAAGTCGATTGCAACTTCCCGCCCAACATATGGCAAGGTTGTAATGATTGAGCTTGCAGCGATGGCTTGACTTTGATGGTTAAGCACAGTCACTACGATGGCGTCTCGATCACGATACTCGGCCGCGCCTGCCACGTCTTTAGAATTTGCGAAGTGTGTTTGTAAGACTCTGGCTTTTTCCTGTCTGCGCTCTTGGTTGTGCAGAGGGTGGGTGTTCTTAGGTAATGGTGGGACGTGGATGTAGTTTATGAGCTCTATGGGAATGCTCCATCTTGGTCCGAATTGGGTGTTGTATGTAATCCCTAGTGATTGGAGAATACGATGCCCCGTCTGGGGGAGAGCGAGAGTTTTCCAGTTTGGCAATTTTTTGGGCATCTATGAGCTCGTCAAGAGTATTGTGTATTCCTAGAGCCTCAGACGTTTCGTTTGCGGTGGTAATTGGGAGGCGTACAGCCTGCTTGTAGACTCTCTTGATCATGAGGTTAATTTTGATACGTTCGTCACTCTTCAGCTACAGGAATGGGGTAGAGTAGACTATTCTGCTTATAACAAACGCCTGTACCAGTGTGAGTGAATTAGTTTCTTCCATACCGTGCTGTCTGATGGCGATGCGCGTAATGAGTCTGGTCGTTTGATGCACGTCCGAGTCTAGTGAAGTTATCACTTCATTGTTCTGTCCTTGGGCCTGTATTCTGAGTCCAAGTATCCTGATGCTCGATACTACTGGATTGTCCTGTCCGTTAGCTCTGAGCGTAATTTGAGGGTAGTAGAGACAAATTATTTTAGTTCGGTTAGGAGGCTGTTTCATAAGCGCCGCGTGAAAACAGCAGACTGACGTGCAAGGAAACAGATTGAGAGTCATGGCAACGAAAATCACTCACTGTATAAAAAAACTAAACAAAAAAACAAAACAAAAAGAAACAAACAATTCAAATGCAGCGAAAAAGTTTCATACTTGTTCGATTCGGCATAAAAGTAAAGACATAGACGTACTGGTGGAAACGGGCAGTGGCAAGAAATATAATTTTTTAATATTTAAAGGTTAACATGAATGGTAAAATGCCTTATAAGTAGCAGATAAATCAATCTACTTGACAGTCGTAAAAAAACAAAAACTATACCCATTCTTACCTTAAGAAAAAAGCAAGTTTCGCTCATTGTTCATACGCGCGCGAAGTAGTTCTTGCGAGGTATGGTTGACAGAGGAAAATGCGATGGCTTTGACGTTTGAAACGTTTACGTCTTGATAAGACAACATATATATAATCTAAAATTCTCCTACATATAACTTAATTATCGACATAAAGGGAGAAATTAGTAATGCTCCACGAAGTGCCGGACTTTTTTTACTACGGTTCTTGAGGTGAAAACGGGTATAGACGTGTTTGTTATATTATTGCTTAGGTTTCAATATAAATGAAGTATAACACATTAAGTCGATTCTTTCAGCGTCTACTGTTGATGCACGTGAGGTTGGCATTGTACAATAGCTGGCTGAGAGACATAGACCATCTTTGGGAGTTAAACATAAACCAAACCGCTTCCCCACGCATATTTCCAAAATTATTCTTGACTTTTTTTAGTCTGCGATAAAAATATATTCTGCTGTATACTGTAACGTGGCTCTATAATCGCCGCTCTATAGGTCTGTACATCGCTCGTCCCCAAATGAGTAACACATCAAAACGAAAAGACAGCGAACGGTTTTACTGCATTCCGTAATTACCCGTCCTCCAGAGCCAGCAGTCCGGATTCCCCGGCCGTTATTGTCGCCCGTCGTTCAAAGCTAGCAGTCGGAGTCCATGTCCAGGCCTGCGGATCGTCCTTCCTACGTGAACGCTGGGTAGGCTAGCTGTTTCGGGCTGTCACGACCTGAGTCTGGCTGCGGAACCACTCTGGGCTGTTCCTGGTCCAGGCCGGTAGGGCTAGAGATCACGGTTACCGCCGGTGCTTGTCCGAACCTTGCTGGTGAAGGGCTCCGGAGGTCACCATGGTTCAGATCGGCTCGATCGTTTCTGCCCGGCCCCAGCCCACACGCAGCACTCTCTCACGCGCCAGCCCGTGTATTTCTGGCCGACCGCTTGTCAAATGACCCCCGCCCCGTGCTCTTCCACCGTCAAAGAGGAGTTCTTCTACTTCAGCCATGGTCTATCAGTATTCGTCGATGGAGGGGGAGACAGCAGTGAACGCTGTTGTTGACGCCGTCTAAGGTGTAGGTAGAGGAGGTTGTTATTGGTGTTACCGGGGTCGCCACATTGTAACATCCGAAAGCGACGTAGGTGCTGGTGGGACCCTCGGTGTCGGTCTTTCTAAGTGCAAGTTTCATCTGGCTCTTCTAGCGAAGCCGGCAGATAGCGAGTTTTAGCAGACCGCTTTCCCCCTCCGCTAAGCCCCTCCGCTACCCGGAACTCTTCAGCCAAGGCCATCCTAATGTCGACAGCCGCAGGTCCGTCGCTCGCTGTCCCATTCACCACTATGCAGCAGGGGGCCTGCTCTAAGGAGATCCCACTGACGCGGAAGGATTTGCCCTGTTCCACGAGGATGTCGCCGTGGACGTGGAAGGTCCCGCGTCGGTCGCAATCACGGAACCCACGAAGCCCCTCCGGCTTTTTGCCGTTTCGCCGGCTGGTCACCACCGGTGTCGTCGTCTCCATGAAAGGCTACCACTGGGATCTGACAGCCCGAACCAGTGCCACCCACCCTGATCACTTGGGGAAACAGACGGGAGCGTGTTTCCTCCTGGTAGACCTCCTGGGTGACGCCGTTAATGGCGGCCTTTCCAGGGAGCCGCTCTGCACCGAACAAAGTGTTATAACAACACACAACGAACAAACCCTCTGCCGCAGATTCTGGCAGCGGCTATAGAATATTCTGCAAAATTGTTTCCCGACGGTCGTGTACCGTACGGCTAACTTGGCGAGTCCGCATTCTGGAGTTTGCTCCTGGGTCGCAACCTCATAT